TCCTCCTTTTCAGTGTTGACAATGAGATGCGGGACTTCGTGCATGCTAAGGAACTGCTCTGGCACTCAGTTACCTATGCCCCTAGCTCAAGAGCCATTGACTCTTGCAGTATTGGAAACCACGTGCAGAGCCAGCCCAAGGCTGGAGAGCTGCAGAGAGAGAGAGACTACTTGTTCATGCCCTGATCAAATTTCTCTGAAGTTGCTTTGAGAAAGGCAAAGCATCAGGTCCAGTTGGGGTGTGGAAAGGACAGTGAGTGTCTTGATGTAAGTTTCTCTGAAGGAGACTTCTTACATGCAGCGTGCCACCTAACTCCTCTTGGAGGCTGTGTGGGCTGCTTCTCCGAAAGTCTTCGGTCTCTCAGCAAGTCCATCTAGAAGGCAATGGCAGAGGCTATGCTTACCCTGTGTACTCAGCTCTTCAGGAACAGTGCTGGGGCACAGTGTGTGTGTGTGTGTGTGTGTGTGTGTGTGTGTGCATGCGCGTGCACGCAAGAGTATGATCACGTGCACAGCCAGGCTCATGGGACTAGAAGCAGGTGATATTTGCCTTAGGGACAGCAGTCGTGACACATACATACATCCAGGCCCAGCCCCTCTGAACTGCTTGAGGGTCTTAGAGCCTGTGCTCCAGTATTATGCCTTGCCTCTACATTATAAGGACTCCTGCTGAGAATTTCTGCTTCTGCTGGCTTTTCTCGGGCTTCCTCCTGGGGTCTCACACATCCCTGTGCAGAGCAAGGCATCCGGCGGTCCTCTGGCAGTGCTGGAAGACAAGCCCTGATAGGGCCATCCATCCTCCAGCTACTTTGCAGAGCTAGGGGCTTGCCGAGGGTCTACAGCCCAAGAGGGACTTCCCCAGCTCGTGACCCTAGCAGGGGGCAGCTTGGCTTGAGGATGGATTCTCACCCGGGGGCTCATTAGAAAGCACGGTTAGACCTCCGGGTGACACAGTGAGAGCAAAGAGCTAGGGCGGATTGGGAGGATTTTTCTCCCTGAGGAGGGGAAAGGCTGCCGCCGAGTGGCCATAGGGCTGGCTAGCAGGACTTATTGCTCCAGTGCACAGCTCCATCCAGATCCACTAAGTTTGTCTGCTCAGCAGTAATGCAGACCTCAGGGAAGAAGTCCCCAAGCTGGAAGCTTCAGAGACTAGTGGAAAGTCTCAAGGCTTAGAGGTGATCTGAGCATAATACAGGGAGTGTGGTGTCTCAGGGATCTGCAAAGGGCTGAGCGGAATAAAAGGACCCAAGAAAGGAGCCCAGTGTTCAGGACAAAGTGAACCTGGATAGGATCGCTGACTAGGACGAGAGCTAGGGAGAGCAGATCCAGGCTGCTGTGGTGAGGCTGGAGCAGGGCTTGGGGGCTCTGACCCAGGGTTTTCCCTCCTTTCTCTCTTCACTCCTCCACAGTGGTCTGAGGCCCTCTGTCACACCTCTGGGTCCTGTGGTTCTGGCTACTGGCTCTGCAGCTGGCTTTCTCAACTGTGCCCATATTTCCTTGTCAGTTTCATCTGGGGCTGGGGTAAAGTGTTCACGACAAATGCTCCCATTAAGAGCTCTGGTCACCAAGGGGGAGACCCAAAGATGGGAACCGGAAAGCTGATGACTGGACAGCAAAGGCAGGCTGACCCCTAGAGGCCTAACATCCCTAGAGGATGCCCTCGCCGACTCCTGTGTTTTGTCCAATGCAGACAGAAAGAGGCCCTGCTGTCAGCAGAGGGTGTGACTCAGTGTGAACAGGGAACACAGTGGTTCTGAGGCTAGAGTATCTGCTGAAACCCTGCTCTCATCTACAGCCCTTCTGTGCAGTTCTGGATCTTTCGGTCCATGAATGGTTCAATCTAGCTGGGGCAGCAGGTTTCATTAAAGGAAATGTTAATGAAGTAGAGTTTATTGGGGGCTTCACCCGTTAGAGAAAATCAAAGTCATTATGTGCAGAGTGTATGCATAGGTGTGGGCTCACGTGTGTGTGTGTGTGTGTGTGTGTGTGTATGAGTGTGTAAGCTTGAGTTCCGAAGGAAATGGACATCTGTGTGTCTGCACAGGAGCTGTGGTCAGAACAAGGCTGTGTGCTTTTGCTTGGGAATCCCTAGGCTTCATTCACCCATCAAGCAGGTGAAACAAAACTTCAGAACCAGGGGTGCCTGGTAGTCAAGATTGCTCGCTGCTCTTCCAGAGACCTAAGTTGAGTTCTCAGCACCCAAGCTGGGCAACTCATAACTGCCTGTACCCCTGGCTCCAGGGGATCTGGCACCTACTGGGCTTCTTTAGCCATACATACTGACAGATGCATGTGCCCCTACATGGACACACACCTGCACACAATTAGAAGTAAAGCCAATCTTTAAAAACAAGTCCTGGACTGCTATGATGATCCTCTCCCCACTGAACAGAGAACACAGTTGTCCTTAGTGTAGTTCTGGCATAACACCCTGTGCTGAGTGTCGCTGAGGTTGGCCAGTGGTCTTGAGTAAATGGAAAAGGCCTTTGCTGGTTGGGCAAGCAGAGTCTCTGTCCCTTTCTCCCCCAGAAAGTCAGGGGTCAGGAGGCAGTCTCCTGGGAGCTCAACAGGCAAGGCCCAGCCACTTGTCCTCTTCCATGGAAGACCCACTGAGGTGCGTGAGTGGACACTAAGGCCGTTTTGGCCATTGGCATTGGCCATTGACTTGGATGGCATAGAATTATGTCCCCACTGTTGTTAGTATTTTTCTCTGGAGTTCCAGCCATCTGAAGTCTATCATACCCTGAAAAGCTTAATAAGAAAAAAATCCTGAAATAAACACTTCATGCATGCCAGGTAACTTTTATATTGTATCATCATGATCATCCTACTTTATTATTGGCTACTATAAATATTTTTTGTGTCTAGGTATGTATGTAGGAGAGAAGGTGGATGCAGGGTTTGGGTGTCCATGGGGAGTCTTGTACCATATTTCCCACAGGTATGGTACACAGCTTCTGCGCTCCTGGGGAAGCCTGCCACTTTCTACTTTCTTTGGTCTTTGGGCACATTTTTAAGTCCTCAGTATCTCTCGGGCCCCTCATTCATCAAATAGGGCCCACGTCACAGAGTGATTGTTGTATTAAATATATGACCAACTGGATTGCACACATCTGTCTCAGAATAAGTGACTGAGGATTGACCACCGTTACCCAAGGCCCACAGTCTTATATAGATGGTCTGTGGTATCACCAGTTTACTAGTGAATAGGGACTCCAAGTCCTGGCCAGAACTGCCAGAATTATGAGGAATCCCTGTATTGCTTTATCGCCTCTATCAATAATTTATTCATTCGTCAGGTATTTGTTAATATTTCCTATATTTCAGATGCTGTGTCAAATGCTGGACACTCCTGTGCAGACAGTGGGAGAACACCAGGACACATTCTGTGGGCTGGTAACTAGCTAAGAAGCTACTAGCATGGTACCCGATGCACAGAAGCAATTATGTAAATGTTGAGTTAGTACTGGCTCGGTCACTTAGGCTGGGGAAGCACAGAGCCATCGAGGTACAGAAGGGGTAGCTCACTAGGTGTGGGGAGCCAGGGAAGCAATAGCATAGTCAAGACCAAATGCGAGCAGAGAGGGGAGGAGGAGGGACCAGACAGAGGGAGAGGCCCAATGGCAGAAGACTGCGTAGACTACAGGAGGTGATGAGAATGACCAGGATATAGGTTGGGATCAGCATAGGGGTCTTAGATCAGAAATAGTGTGCAGAGCCCAACAGGACCCTATTCCTCAATTTGGCTTTGGGGAAAGTTTGAACCCCTCAGCCAGGCCCCAAGACCCTGTGGCAGTCAGAACCCCACTGAGCTCTTGAGAGTAGTAGTCAGGGGGAAGCAGAAGGGGAATCAAGTCTGACAAACAACATCCCAGCTGCCCTCTGTCCCCACCAGTGTTGGGCCCATTTTTGCTATTTTTAGTATGTGTGTGGGGTGTGTGTGTGTGTTGTATATGTGAGCGTGTGCATGTCTGCTTGGCTGTCTCTGTGTGTGTGTGATGTATATGTGAGTGTGTACATGTCTGCTTGGCTCTCTGTATGTGTGTGTATGTGTGGTGTATATGTGAGTGTATGCATGTCTGCTTGGCTGTCTCTATGTGTGTGTGATGTACATGTGAGTGTGTGCATGTCTGCTTGGCTGTCTCTGTCTCTGTGTGTGTGATGTATATGTGAGTGTGTGCATGTCTGCTTGGCTGTCTGTATGTGATGTACATGTGAGTGTGTGCATGTCTGCTTGGCTGTCTCTGTCTCTGTGTGTGTGCTGGGTATTGTGTGTGCCTCTGTGTGTGTGCTGGGTATTGTGTGTGTCTCTGTGTGTGTGCTGGCAGTGCGCACACATGCACTTGTGCATATTTATGTTAAGGCAGAGGAGGACATGGCGTGCATTGCTCTGTCACTTTTTGCCTACCTCTATGAGACAGGCTGTCTTAGTGAGGGTTCCATTGCTGTGAAGAGACACATGGCCACAGCAACTCTTATAAAGGAAAACATTTAACTGGGACTGGCTTACGGTTTCAGAGGTTTAGTCCATTGTCATCAGGGCAGGGCATGGCAGTGTGCAGGTAGATATGATGCTGGAGGAGGAACTGAGAGCTCTGCCTCTTGATCCTCGGGCGACAGGAAGTGAACTGTGGCACTGGGCATAGCCTGAGCATAGGAGACCTGAAAGACCACCCCCACAGTGACATAATTCCTCCAACAAGGCCACATCTCTCAATAGTGCCTCTCCGTTTGGGGCCCATTTTCTTTCAAACCATCACACAGGGTTTCTTAATGAACCTAGAGCCATGCTGGTGGCCAGTAAGATCCAATAACCATTCAGTCTGTGTCAACATCACAGGCACATGTGTGGCCATGCATTCTCTCCCTTTTAAAATGTAAGTGCTGAGGATTGAACTTGGGTTCTCATGCTTGCGTAGCAATTGTTCTTACACTGGGTTACCCCCGCCCCACCAGGCCCAGAGTGGGTGTCTAACAAGGCTTGGACTTGTTTTCTTCAAGGTGTTGGAGGAGCTCGAGTGCTGGCAACGGACAAGTCTGCTGGGACTGAGATTGGTAGGTGGCCTCTGTGTTTGTTTTGGTACAGAGTTGCGGTAAGACCCTATAAAGAATGCAGGTAGATTCTGGTGTTCATTCTTGCTAGCCATCACATGTCTTGCCCACAGGCCCACTTAGTGGCCAAAATAACTCCATCCCGGGGACACAAGCCATCAGGCCACCTCTGTGCTATCTGTCTCTGATCGGCAGCCTTAGCTTGTCCCATGCCTTATCCTGTATCTGTGGGCTTACTACGGCAGGCTCTGCCATTCTCTCTGGTCCTCACCTCTTCATTGGTTCATTGGCCCCCTTCCCTACGTAGCCCGTCCTCCCTACACTGAGGCTTGTCTTCACCAGCAAGGAGCAATGCACATATCACCTTCTCTAAGAAGGCCCTAGGCCAGTCCAGACCACTTGTGATGTGACGTTAATGTGAGTCCTTTGCCTGACTTTCTCAGCAGACTCCAGGGTTCTCTAAGATAGTGTGGAACCTTCCCCATTAGCTTTCAGGTTCACCACATAGCAACGGTTTTCACGTCCTCGACAGACGAGTCAATGAATAAATTAAGGGATAAATGCGGTAGGATGGCAGGAAGTCAGAGGATTAAGTTGCCCACCACTAGAGCTCAAGGGGCCAGGTCCTGCTGGACTTGAATGACCCTTAAAGATGGGAACAGTTCTGAGAGCTTCAGAGACCAGGGAGGAGGCTTTGGGGGTGAGGAGGGGCTGGGGATGGACAATGGAAAACAAGGCTAGCACAGCAGGTGGACACTGGAAGGTTAAGGGCCAGGAACATGAGCCTGGACTGCGTGTAAAGCCATGAAAAGCCCCTGGAGGTTGGCAGCTGAATTCAATTCTTCCCTGTGATTTAGATTTCAAATACGCCCTCATTGGTATGGCCTTGGGAGTCGCCATATCTGCGGGTTTCCTTGCCCTGAAGATCTGCGTGATCCGGAGACATTTGTCTGATAGTGACTCTGCAGACCTGAAGAACACGCCCCAGGGTAAGGCACCCGTGACAAACAGAGCCTGCACTGCTCTGGGGAAGAAAGGACTGTCTGTTGGTCCTTTGTGTTACTGTAACAAAACATCAGAGGCCATCAACTTAAAGAGAGGAAAGGGGTTCACAGTCTGTGGATTTTGGTCCATGCTCTATTGGTCTTTTTGGCTTGTGGTGGTACTACATACCATGAGTGTGTAGAGGAGGACACTGGCTCCTCTTGGAGAGAAGAAGACTCTGCAATTCCTCTCAAAGATGTGCCCCTAAGGCCAAAGAGCTCCCAGTAGGTCCCACCTTTTAAAGGTTGTCCTCCTTCCCAGTAGCACCATGTACCGAGGAATAAGCCTTTAACACGGGCTTTTGGAGAACATTCTAGACCTCAGCTATAGCAGATGGCATCCTGTGAAGCAAACCCAAAAGCCCACAGCCTGGGAACTCCCACTGAGAATAAATGGGGCCTCTCTGAGTCTGTTTTTCCGCTGTGCCCCTGCCTAACCCTCTGTCACTATGTAATTCTGTAGTCAGTTTGGTATGCGGAGAAGTAATCTATCTGGAGAAAGATGGAAAGAGCTGAAGTTACTTCCAAATGGAACTTCTGTTTCCCTGTCCCTGGGATATGGTCAGATAAAATTGATCCCAGGAGGGCCTGAGGTGGTTCTGAGCTCAGTTTGTTGACGAGCAGGTCATACCCAGAACAGGGAAGAGTGGTTGCGTGTGATCTGGATGTGGCTGGGTTTGTGTGAGTCTGTGAATGGCAGCCTGGCACATCCTGCTCTGTGTCAGGGAAGACCTCCCTGCAGGGTCTGGGCAGTTTCCCTGTGAGTTATATAGCAACATGCAATGCTTATGTGCAGCTCTCTCTCTCTCTCTCTCTGGAAGACACACACAAAGCACCTTGAAGATAACCAAGATGATGGTGCGATTTTCTGTGGAGGACAAGGAGGACGGAGGCTCTTTTCTCTTCCAAAATATGTCATGACCTGTAGAGATACATGGGAAGGGTGGTGTGGGACATAAAGAAATGGCCATCACTGGTCACAGGCACTGGCTTAGCTTTGATTTTGTTTCCTTACCAATAAGAGTAAAGGAAGCTGTCTCCTTATCCCACAGTCCTTGGCCTCCATTCTCCTGAGAATTCTAGCCCCTTTGGGAGGTTCAGGCTGCATGTAGAGAGGGGATATGGGCCTTGGGCGGTATGGGGAACACTCAGTCATGCCTGTGCACCAGCTAAGGGGCTCAGGGACTGACCATGGACAGAGAAGTTCCAACAGCAGTAAGATATGCCCTGAACCAGTTCCCAGTGAGTGGCCCACCCTAGAGCCCATCCACTGGGCTGAATTTGACACACCACTCCCACAAGCATGCCAACTAGGAAAAGGAGCCATAGGCTCTCCTTCCTAACAATTTATTCTATCTGTTTAGACCCCATGCTACAGAAGACAAGAAACCCCAGGAAGAGAAGCCCCAGGTAAGTTCACTGCAGACTAGTCAGTATGTATCATCCCTGACCCCAACTCACCATAGGGGACAGAATGCATTCTGCTACTCTTCCTTTCTTTGGACCAGTAGGGGGCATGAGAATAGTGGCCACAGAACACAGCAGCCAAAGGGGCCCAGACTCGTCTTTGCACAGCTTGGCTTAGAGTCCTTCTCAACACTCTGCTCAGAACCATCCGTGCATGGTACTTAGAATAAAGCTGGCAGCTCGTCCATGATCAGAATCTGCCCCAGGTTAAATTCCCCCACTGGCATCCAGCAGCTTTGCTTTTCTGCACGGAGCCCATGTCTTCTTGGGTCGCCTGCCCTTTGCCCTCACTGTGGTCTAACAGAGATGCCCTTTGCTCAGGTGGGTGCAAGCCTTGCCCTTCATTTCCTTTCCACCTCTGCCTCAGTGATTTGAGATAGCCCGCTTTAAGTAGGAGCACCCCACACTGCCCTTCTCTTTCCTTTCCGTGTGTGCATGTGAATGTGTTTGTGTGTGCCAGGCTCGCACTCGTGCATGTGCACACGCGTGGATACCACACACTGATATTGGGTATTTTTCCCAATCATTATCCACCTTGTCTTTTGAGTTGAGGTGTCTTACTGAGCCCAGAGCATGTTGATTTGGTTAGGCTGACTGGCAGCAAGGTGGAGGGATACCCGTGTGGCCCCCTCCCCAGTGCTGGGTTACAGGCGTGTGCCCTGCTTTTGGATGGGTGCTGGATATCAAACAGTTCTTTTTTTTTTTTTTTTTTTTTTTTTTTGGTTTTTCGAGACAGGGTTTCTCTGTGGTTTTGAAGCCTGTCCTGGAACTAGCTCTTGTAGACAAGGCTGGTCTCGAACTCACAGAGATCTGCCTGCCTCTGCCTCCCAAGTGCTGGGATTAAAGGCGTGCGCCACCACCGCCCGGCCCAGTATCAAACAGTTCTTCCTGCTTGTTCGAGAACTTACTGACGGCCATCTCCCCATCCCCGACTTTATTTTCTCGATGCCTCTTTTCCATAGATGCATGATGTATCACACGTCATTAAACTCTGAGCCTTTTGTTTGTTTACCTCTCGAAAATGTAACCTCCTTGAGACCAGGTCTGTCTTTCCATCGCTGTAGCTCCAGCAGATAGCCCAGTGCCTAGAACAGAGCGTGAGCTGTGGCTGTGATGAATGAATGAAGGAATGAATGAATGGACATGTGGCTATGAGACAGGTGCTGGGTGGCAAGAGAGGGAAGACGAGTTCCCTCTAACGACAGGGGTCACAGGCGACAGCCCTCTGAGAGTGTTGAGGCAGGAAGGGCCTGTGTGACCTTGGCGGTGTGGAGGGCTGCTCATTCACTGGGAAGTAGATTGTGTCAGGGCACAGAAAGGAAGCAAAAGGAGCCCAGGAACCCTGAGACAGGAGGACCCCAGTGGGCCGTTTGGCCAGAGAGGGAGTCTTATGGTGAGAGCAGATGCTTTATTAGTCCATGGTGTAGGGAGGGAAGATGTTGTAGAGGTTTCAACTCCCTGGGGCGTGAGAGCCTTGGGTTAAGGGAATGACCCTGAAACCTTGTCCTGAAACTTCCTGTCTAGCACTGAGGTCTGGGAGAGGAGAAGGGTGCTGGATGATCACAGTCATCCTCTTGGGGCTAGGAGGAGGGCCTGTGCAGATGGTCGCCCCTCTGGAAGTCTCCCAGAGCTCGGACTCTCCTGGGACACCCACTGAACCACAGCCAAGAGGCTGCAGAAAGAAGACAAAGTGGGAAAGTTCTGGACTCTTTGAGGCACGGGGCTGTAGGGGGAAAGAGGGCTGTAATAGTTGTTTAAAAAGGAACCTTCAAAAGTAGCCGCCAAGGGCAGTGAAGGAAGGGGATGAATGACTGCCGCAGAGGGAGGTGACCAAGTTCCTCCAGCTAACACGAGATGAAGTCTGGGGATGCTAGCCAACCTGAGACCCCAGGAAGCAGCTGAGCACAAGGAGTCAGGGCTCGCATGCAACCTGGCCTCACCTCCTGCTCTGCGCTAGACTTTTAGACAGCATCTTCCTTTGCTCCAAAGCTTGTCCTCACAGGAAGGAAGCTGGCATTGCCCTGGGGGCAGCTGTGGCACTTCCTCTTGCCACAGTTGGAGTGCTGGCACTAGTTAGAGACCTTGGACTTGGACAGCCTTCCTTTAGGACTGTGGAGAGTTGGCAAGGGATGAGCCTTCGGCCATACGAAAAGAAAAGCTGTGGTCATTTACTCAATTAAAGCTGGGAGAACTGGGCTTTAGCCAAACGAGAGTCTGGTTTTCCCACAACCCTTCCTTTTGACAGTGGCCAATCTATTAGCCAGTTTAGCTCATTTAACGAAAGCAAAATCCAAAACACTACTCTGTGTTAGCAGGCTTCAGTGTGTTTGACAGTTGCCGTCTCATACTGCTTTGCGGGGGTCCAAGAGTGGGAAAGCCTGCATATTGGGAGCAGATGCTGAGGGTCACGATCTTGCAGTCGTGGGTTGAACCCTGCATGGGTTGGCCACTCTAGGTCTGGAGTCATCTCTCATCTTCTCTTCTGTCCTCTTTCTGTTTGAAAAAAAGAAATCTTGAAATCCACAGAAAATCCGAGAAGTTGCAAATAAAACTTATCTGCTCCCTTTTCCTTTTCCTTTCTTCCCATGGCGTCTCTCATTTCGAACTGCCTAAGTTTAAAATTGTATAATGTCCCGTTCTTTTTTGGGGGGGAGGGCGGGGCGTTGCCTATCTTACACTGTCCAGTTCATACCTAACTCTAGCCAGGCTCCCTGTTGGTGATACGTCTTTTGATAGACTGGCTAAGGAAGCCATCTCTTGCCCTCAGCGCTGAAGAGACGCTTTGTCAATATAGTTCTTTGTCAATAGCCAATGTGCTGAAGACTGGTGCTTGTGAACATAGCCTGACCCCCAGTGATCCTCACCCTTTGATCTCACCTATTCATAGCTCTTGTCTAAGTCAGCTGTTGTCATTGGTGGTTACAAAAATACTGAGTGCACAATCCTGGTGCCTCCTCTGCATTCAATACCTGTCATTCTCTTTGGGGGCAACTGGGAAGGACTTTTTATACTTCTCTCTTTTCCCATATTTTATTTTTATTGATTATTGTTGTACTAGACTTCAATGCTTTTTAATCTATCACCGTCATAATTCTTTGTTGCTCAAAGTATCCCAAGTTGAGTAAATGGAATGTATTTTATTTTAAAAACATTTTATTTATATTTTTGTGTCTTTCTTGATCTCATCCATCTCCCCATCCCTTCTTATCCACCAGAAGGATAAGATCCTTGCACCACCCCCCTGTAAAATAACATAAAATTTAAGAGAAAAGAAAACAAAGAAGAAAAATCTTGTCATATATCATTTAGTCCATATATCTTCACTAGCAAGTGTCATTGCAAAGAGTCATTGACCTGGTTCGAGGCCTCTGCTTTCTGCTACACTATCGATGCTGGGCCCTCACTGCTTCTCCTCTTGGATATTTTGTTTTTGCCTTGTGTTGTGGAGATCCTTCAGCTTTGGAGTCTCAGGACTGGCCCCTTCATGTACTCTATATATCACATATATGTATATCATAGATGGAGTGGATGTTGGGATGGGTTAACACATAGCCCTGGTTCTGGGTCTGGGGGTTGCAGGGTTGGTCAGCCTACCAGCTCTCTCCCAGCAGAGCTCTCTCCAGGGTGAGCTCTCCAGTGTTACCCCTGCTAGTTTACCCTATGCAGCAAGGAGCAAGGAGGGAACAAGTTTTCCTGCTTTTTAGGCCCTGAGGGTTGCCTGCCTTACACATACCTACATAACCAGGGCCAGCTCTACTGTGCTGCCCAAGAGAGATGCAGGGGCCACTCTTCTGATTGCTGCAACTGGTGAGGGGCAGGGACAGCTCTCCTGCTCTCATGACCTCAGAGACAGCCCTCCCAACTACCAAAGGCTGACAGGAGCTGGAGAGGGGGAGTGCACAAATCATTTCTTGAAGACAAATGGGCCCCATTGAAAACATCCTGGCTGTTCTGAAGCACCTTCCAGATTAAACACACACACACACACACACACACACACACACACACACACTCACATACACATATACACAGGCACACATACATAGACACAAACACACATACACAAGACACCCACATACACATATACACAGATACACATAAATAGACACAGACACACATACACATAGACATATACATACACATATACACAGACACACATACATGCATATACACAGATGTACACAGACACTATAGATATACACAGACACATACTCACATACATCCACAGACACATGCTCACACACATCCATAGACATGAATATATATATACACATGTAGACATACACAGATGCACAAATAGACACATATGCACATATATGCACACATGCATACACAGACACACAGAGGCACATACATGGACACACAAGCACACATATACACACATGCACATAGACAGAATACATAGTCACATGCACCCATATACATAATACATACACACATGTATACATACATGGACACACAGACACACATAGATACACATGCACACAGACACACACATAGACACATGAGTACACATACATAGACATACACACACACACACAGTATCTCAGGTTGCTTTTCAACCTCTCTCATCCAGAGTTACCCCTCAGCCCTTTCCTTGAGTTTCCTTCTATTTTTATGGGGTTTTTTTTAGAAATCTAAATTTGGACAGATTGTATCACACTCATGGCCACCAGCATGCCATTTTCCCTGGGTTCTTTCCATGTATATGTGTAAAAGGCAAAGGCAACCCTCTGAAGGTCTCCAGAGCTTTCCTGTCTGTGTTTCTGTGTTGCCTCCTCTGACGTGGAGAGCCTATTTCTCTACCAGAGCAGGATTTTTACCATTTTGCTCAGTTCCAACCATCACACACGATGCTACCTGAATCCCAGCAGTGTCCTGGTACAGCCTGCCCAGCAAGCACGAAGAAATCTCTTCAGCGCTTTTTGCCTATAGAGTCTTGCTTTTCATGTGAATACAGCTAGAGCAATATGTTCAATTTAAATAATAATTTTCTCTGTGTGATTATTGCTGACATTTGATACAGAATTAGGGATACTGCTCTCATGGCCTAGGGGAGCTTAATGTTTTATTTAAAACCATTAGTTTATTTTTGAACAGGTAAAAAAAGACCAAAGTCAAAGATGAGACTGTTCAACATGAACACAGAAAATTCTTTCTCTCCAGACTGTTACTATGTTTCTGCTTGAGGCTACCATCTCCGTGGCTCCTGGCTGGCTAAACCCCTTCCCTTGACTCTTCCACAAAAACGTATTAAATTTTAAACATTCACATATAATCAGTTTTAATTTTATATTTAATCATGATATTTTTATGTTATGTATATATCAGATTATATTTTACATCTATTCAGATATATTTTTGTGATATTTAAGAATTTTTTTGCTTAATTCGCTAGTATTCATTCTGGTGTGTGAGGTGAGCTATTGATACAGTTTGGTCTTTTATACAAATAACAACATCATTAAAAGCATTGGTGCATACCTTTAATCCCAGTGCTGGCAGGGTTCCCTGTTAGAACTAGATAGTGAGTTCCTGTCTCAGAAATGAACGATGGTGCTGGAGAGATGGTTGGGCAGGTAAGTGCTGGCTGCCCTTCCAGACGACCTGAGGTCAGTTGCCAGCACCCATGTCTGGTGGTTCACAACTGCCTGCAACTCTGTAACTCAAGCTCCAGGATGATCTGATGCACTTTTCTGACCCCCAAAGACACACACATGTGTGTGTATACATACACATATATCACATATATGTACCACTCACAAAATAAATCTTAAAGAAGAGCAAACCAGAAGACAAATGGCAGTGTTGGTCCCACCCTCTATTCCCATCATCTGATTTGCTCTTGGTTCCCATGCATGGCTGGATGTTTCTGGACTTGGCTACCTGTGGTCAGTAATGGGCAGGTACCACACTGTGTTTCCAGATGTGCTTTGCCATCTGTCAGGCTGGCTCCTCCCGCCCCCCAACAAACCCACACTGCACTTGCTCCTCAGGGAAATGTTTGCTAGTTTAATTCTAGCAGCTTTAAGCAAGACTTTGCAGTCAACTTCAGAATTTTATTATAAAAACAAATGTCTTGGTATTTCATTGGGGATATATAATTTTCATACATTAGATTGGAGCTGATTAATTTCATTGTAACATTAGCCAGAAATTCATGGGAAAAGTATATTTTATTTTTGATTAGTAAATGTGTTAATTACAACTCTTAGTGGGTTTAGTATGCTGCCTCAGTCCAGGCATCTGACATGCAAACCCAGCTTTGCCCTATCCCAACCTCTAGTATTCAGTCGTCTGTATTCAGGCTGACGTTTTCCACACCACTTTTTTGTGTTCAAGAACACGTGGCAGCTTTCTGTGTCTAGCTACTTCACTCAACACCATGCCCTCCAGCTCTGTTCACGTTTCTGCACGCCACAGGTTCTCTTCATTCTTTATGGCTGCATTCTCTGTGGATATACATACCATGGTCTTGCTATAAAGACACTTAGCATGTCTGTTCTTGTGTGTTTCAATGAAAGCCCTCTTGCTTTATTCATAAGGTTCTTACCTTTCTTGTAAATTTAATCCCAAGTATTTTAAATACCTTGTATGTTTACGGTCTTTCGTGTTACTTCACTGACCTGGTCACTGAGTATATATTACACTGGATGCCCTCATTATACAGCATTGGATGCCTCTCTTAGATTTCCTTCTCAATTGCCCCCGCTTCCTTCATTAGATCTTTCCTTTTTAATGGTTTAATTAGTGTATATTAATTTTACAAACTAATGGGTTTCTTCCTGACAGATCACCTCCACCCCACCCCCCATCCTAGGTTGTTTTTTCGTGCGGCAGTGAAGACCACAAATAAAAGTAGCACGGGGAGGAAAGGGTTCGTTTCAACTTACAGCTTACAGGGCAGCATGGAGCCAGGTCAGGAGTTTGTGTCAGGGCCTGATTTGGTGCCTTCATTTTTTCTTTTGTTTTCCTGATTTGAAAAAAAAAATCCATGGTCAGTGCCCCCCCCCCCCCCCCCGTCTCTGTTGGTGCAGAAGCAAACAATTCTCGATGTGGAGCCGAGGGCCCTGTCTTGCTCTGCTCAGCCTCTGTCCAGATCTAAACACGGTCTTCATATACAGTGATGCTTCCCCCAAATAGCCCAATCAACCCCGAGGAATGAGTCCCGGGCACTTTCTGATTCACTTTGGTGAATACTGGAGTGCCCAACACTATATTGACGTGAGTGGAGTCTTGTGGCCTTGGGTCCGGCTGGCAGAAACGACCTCATGGCTGGTATCTGGCTTCAGCATGGACCGCAGGCATTCTTCTGTGTCGTTCGAGGAGAGACCCCATGGTGCTGACACCTGCCGCTGAGCTCCTCACACCTTCTCACTGTGCTGGCAGCAAGTAAAGCCAACTGTAAGGCCACTGTCACTCTTAACAGTGAGGCTTCCAACGTTTCTTTTCCTTTCTAGAGATGCCCAGGTGATCGAGCTGTGAGTGGCCAGCTGCATCGGGAGAGGCTTTAGGTGTTTTGGGTCTGAACACCCGAGGCTGGTGACGGATCATTACATGGTCAGGCACTAAAAGGACTCCAATCAACAGCACCTCTGTCCTGAGGGACTATATCACGCCTGTTCTGCAGGAGTGTCCGTACAGGAGGAGAACATGACTCGGCAGCAGGGGACAAAGAAACCCCAAATCCATATTTCCCATCCTACGTGCTTGTGTGGGAGCTGTGCACACTTGTACAACAGCATTGTATCCACATCAGTGGAGAACCATCCATCCCACACGGATTGCGGAAATGGGAACCAAGCCGAGACAGTTTCCTCAGCACCACGGGGTTATAACCCTCTAGACTCAGGCCTCGCAGACTTAGCAGCCAGGAGACTCCCACTTATAAGACGAACCACGTGAGCATTCAGGGGAGCATGGAACTGATAAGCCAGTGTCCAGTGCTATCAGTGAAAGGCTGTCCTTGTAAGGGAGGAGAGGACAAACCAAGCCAGAGTGAGGGGAAGAAAATCAACAGCCCTGGGAAAGGCCTTGGACCTGAAGCGCTGCAAATGAATGCGGGTGTGGTCAAGAGCAAGCCGGCCTGGCGTCTCACAGAGAGCACAAGAACGCAGGCTGGCAACATGGCCCTCATACAGTGAACACAGGGCTTGCAGGAAAGGCCTCGGGAAACAAACCCTGGTCATGCTCCTCTTCCCGATACAAGACCAGGACACGGGCTCTGTGAACATTCCCACGCTGCCGTCATTTCTGGTTTGGGAGACTCTGCTTTTCCATTCTTCGAGAAGACAGGTGGCCGTGTGGACTGGGTCTGCTCAGATGGGGTTCCCTCCATCATACTATGCTGGAAGATTAGCTGGCTTTTCAGAACCAAGTGCCGCATTACAATAATGTCTGGAGTCCCAGGGTGTCTTTTGTCTGACTTGACAACAGGGCTACTCATTAGCAGCTTTTGCTAACTGATCACCTCAAGCAGTTACATGCTACTCATAAGCATTCTTCCGTGTTTGCGATAGAATAAATCATCGTGTACGGGAGCTGGTAATTGATTTGCTTCTCTTAGCAGCATTTTAATTAAAACATCTGGTTTGTGAATGGCAGAATCACTTGTGAGCGAAGGTGAATGGCTTTGGATTCTCGGTCCTTGTTTCATGTTTTCCACACACGCCATGGGGTCCTCCCCACCACTGCACCTCGTGACATGTTTTCCAGACATGGGTTTGCTTTGTCTCCTTGCCCCACATAGAATTTAGCAAACAGAAGCACAGTCATGTGACACCCAATTATGGGGAAACTCTGAGGAATACACCCCTCCGTGCTGCCAGCCTTGGGTGGGCACCACGCAGCGTGCTTTACGTGAGTCAGATTAAGACGGCTGTAAGGTTGTTAGATGATGCAGCCTTGTGGTACACTGTCACACATGCAGGCCGTTCTTAATGGAAGTGCCATTGCACTGTTCTTATCTGACCAACAGCATGTCCCCAGGTGGCAAGGGACTCATGTCATGGACGGGGAACCATTGGCCATGATACCTCTCTGGCTTTCTCCCCAAACCCCAATTCAGTGGCTTCCATCTAGAAGTTCTTAATGGAAAACTCTCAGGCTCTTCTTGAGAGCAGCTTCCAGAGATGCGACTCTAAAGGACAATACCTCTTGACAGCCCCCTTCTCTGGAGCAGCTTCCAGGGAGGACGGTAGCTTTTGGAGGTATTGGGGACAATCACTATGAGTCGCTGTGCTGAGTCAATGTCTTGGATAGGGGCATTCATACCTGGTTGTCTCATGCCCCTGCTTTTGGGAACATTGTAGCAGAGGCCATGGATGAGGTAAACCTTACTTTCCTGGCCTCAGAGACCATGGAGCCCCTAAAGCATATGTAGTCTCCTTGATATCTCCCCACAGGATGGAGAGCACCACACTTAAAGATCAGGGACAAGTGATGCTCAGTCTAGCTGTGGTGTGGAACCTGTAGGACTTGGTACCTGGAGGAAGAGAAGAGAAGGTGAGAGAAGTCAGCAAGTTAAAAAATTAGCAATAGATAATCTACTGAGAGGTTAAGAATATTGAGATTTAATTCCTAAATAAGCTCAAGACATAAAATGAGACGTGTACATTCATGTATGTTTTCTCTGTGTACCAAGAGCCCACACAGATGACGCAGGAAGTGTGTGAGTGTCTTGGGTTCTGCTCTAGACCCCCACACAGCATCAAAGGCTAGAACAGCGACACAGAGACAAGTTACACGGGCGAGGTGGAAGTGTCAGGCTGATTTCCAAATCAGTCAGTGCCCTTCTACATCCTTGCCCCTTCAAGCAGGGCGATAATATAGCTGGGGATGGGATGAGGGAATGGAGGATGTTGATGAGGATGGGTAGGTTGGGGGAGAATGGAAAAGAGAAGAAAAAGGAAGATGGTCCCACTCCTAGAGTCAACAGTTACCAGCGTGGGCTAGACCTGACTTAGCTCGAAAAGGTCTCCAGCTGAGTCCTGGAGTTTTAAGCCAACGCTTTGGAGCCCAGCATGGGGCTGGCTGCATTAGGACAAAGTGAACCTCACACTTCCCACAGGGCTTCTGTAAAAGTTCTGTGAAGGTTGTGCCTGATAATGAGAGTTAAAAACATGTGGGATTTTTATTCTGGAATATGTTTAGAGATCCCTGAGAAGGCCCAGTGAGAAGGGGAGAGAGGAGAAGCAGACTGGAGGAGATGATGGAGGCGGTGGGATTGCTAAGACAGAGAGATGCTGAGCCCAGCAGAGCCTCGGCATAAACAGAGAAGTGGCCGGTGAGGGCAAGTCTGAACGAGGGGCTGCCTGGGCTGCTCCGAGCACAGCCTGAGAGCCGATTCTTCTCCTCCTGGGCAGTTTGTCACAATCTCAGACTTGCCATACTAATTAATCAACCTTCAAAATTAACCTTTTTCAGAAGGGTATTGCTATCGGATGACAAGCAGGTGGCTCATCTTCAGGCTGTGGAAGCAGAGCACAGAATCCCAGCCTCCCTGGTCAGTGGATCATAAGTTCAAGCACTCATGGTCCTGAGTTTCAACCAATGCTCTCTCTCTCTTTCTCTGCAACACATCTTTGCATAATTAAAACAAATCTTCCACAGCATAAACAAATGTAACACATCTTAAACTAATACCCCACAACACTACTACACAAATATATATACACAATACACACTGACACACATACACACAACACACAATATACACAATATAGACAAGAATAATGCATACAGATTCACAACACACACATACAACTCATGCATATACACACACACACAGAGTGATAGGCACACACACTGTAAATGCTAGAACAAAAATATTTCCTTGGAAGTTGCAAGACATTAAAACGTAACACAGGATTCTAACACTGGGGATGACCAAGTTATGCCTCATTTCTAGCCCTTTGCCAGTGCCCACAATATACTCTGCACACGAGCGGTAGAAGAGCCTTTGAACGAAGCCAAAGGGCCTCCCAGAGCCGCTGAAACCAGGGAAAAGCAGAGAATGGAGCCTCAGATGTACCCAGTGTCTTCCCAAAGATACACCCCAGTCACACAGCACATAGGGCGGGTGTGGGCCTTGATTTCCTGTCATCACAGCCCTTGGAATTTGGGGAACGAAACCAGAAATGAAGCTGAATTAGGGATGGAGTAGGTCTGCTTTCAAGTTCTCCTTCACTCAGAAGAGCTGAGCAGAGAGGTGAGTGTCTGGCCTACAACTGACAGGAAGGAGGGCAAGGTTCAAATCCTACCAAGTTCAGGGCTTTGGGGTGATAGTTTATTCTAAGTGTGTGTCAAAGCACCTGGACCTTTGGTTTAGCTATTTTGAATAAACACGAGGGTTTGGTAGTGGGTGAGATTGCCTTTTAAATTAGTGGTCTCTGAGCAAAGCAGATTTCCCTCCACAGTGTGTATGGACCTCATTGGATAAGTGGAAGGCCTGAATATAGCAAAAGAATGATCTCTCGAGCAAGGACAGATTCCACAGTAGACTCCTCAGACATGACGTATACCTCGGTTCCTTCAGGATCTCCGGTCTGCCAGCCCACCCTGTGGATTTAGTAATTCATAATTGTTGTTTAAGCCACCCCTCTTTCTATACACAAAGCCCCATGTTTCTGTACAGTCTTTACACTTATTAAACCAAGGAGGTTTCTATTCAAAGCAGTAACTGGCTAGAAACAATAGACCAACAAAACCTATGGCCAGAATTGTGGCAGCTTCCCAAGGATTTAACTCACCAGACTGATGACCTGTGTCAAGGTATGAACTTGTAAAGATGACGGACAGAGTGACTCTACATGGAATATGATGTCACTGAAGAAGTATTGCCTACAAGAGACAGGCACACACTATGTCAGGCACGGCAACATTTGGTGACAGGATACGGGAGGGAAAATTCAAGTGACTACACTTGATTCTAAAGGAAGTTGAAAATAATACAATCACTTCAGGGAAAGTAAAGGTGAAAACAAAGCAGCCACCGCTTCTTTCCTCACGGGTGAGTCTGCACCCTCTACCCCTTCTTTCTGTGATGATATACCGTGGTACCCCTTCCACATGGTCACATGCCCGTGGACCCTTTCCTCTCGTTCTCAGAAGCATTCTGACTTTCAGTCACCTGCCATCTTTAATTGATTTAAATGGTTTCTAGTGCTTTCCTTGGTCACGGGAAGCCTGGGTTCCGTGGCTTTTGCATCTAATATCGCCACAGAAGCAGCCTCTTCTCTGGCCTCTGAATTACAGTTCAGGTTTGGTTCCATGGACAGCGGACGTTATCCTCTGCTCTCCTTTCTCAAGAGCCGATAACTGGTGATAGCTTTATTCCCTTGGTTCGATAGGTGGCCGTGAGGATGACTGAGATCCACATAGGGGTCTCTGGGCTCCGTATCTAGGCACTGAGCTGGGGAAGGCTCTGACCTTCCTGGTGGCTGCAGATCTACACCAGTTCAACCCTCAAAGCAGTTAAGTTACGGAGAGCTGTGTAAACACTTTACGCTCCTGAACGGTGAGGGGCACAGGACTATGCTGCCAGAGCGAGCACCGTGCAGCCTCAGGCAGGGTGAAATGATCCCATTCTGTAACTTTGTAGTGAATGAGTGTTAATAACTAGGGAAGAGAGGCCGTTGGGAAGGGAAAGGGAGAGATAGTCACAACAACCTGAGGTGGAGACAGAAGGTAACTTTGACTTCAGGGACCTGCAGGGTATCCTCAGAAAGCCACTGGAGCTAAGGGGACCCCCTCAGTCTCCTCCCCACTCTGTCTGAGAACCTGTGTCTGAATCATCTTTGAGAGCAAAGAAGGGGGCAGAAGGAGAGCATTTCTGGATCACGCAAGTGGAAAAACAGGCAAGGACTCTAGGATATTCATCTTCCAGGAGGGAACGTCTTCTCAGCTAAGAGTAGTTTACACCACTCTCTATGGCAATTTTAGATAAAATCTGGAAGGTGGCTCTAGCTTTTTAGGCTGGAAACAGAGACTCCTCACTTATGCCAGACTATGACCCAATAAACCCTGCTGAAAAATGAAAACGCCACTAAGTCACAGGTGCGTTTAGTGCACCTAACATGACACACGCCAATTTAGCAATCCATCGCACTTCAGAGAAGTGGACTGTCTTCGGATGCTCAGCTCCAGAGGAGGTCCAGGCAAGGGGGTGCAGCTCACCATTGTGAAGTCACTAAACTATGAGTTCAAGTGTCTCAGACTGGGATACCAGCTCTCCTACAGGCTCCCTTGTCCAGGGGTAGATGGCAGAGCTGTGCTTGGGGACAGGAGGAAAGGCAGGTACTAGAAAGCCCCTGGCAGCAAGACATCTGTCTGTGATGCTGACACGGCCCTTTCGTGATGATGTCCACTTCATGGCTTAGCAGCTATTTGAGCTCAGAAAACAAGGAAGAAAATGTGTGTGGAGGGGTGTGGAGAGAAGTGTATCTTCTCAGGGACTTTCATGTGTGTGCAAGGTCATATGTTCT